CTATCGAGCAAAGAGTACAAATGAGAAAGTGGCGTTGAAAAGGGTAAAGGTTACACCAAAACGAATTTTTAATAATCGCTCAAAACGGGTATCATCGTACATCGTATTTCACTAAAAGACTATCAGCTGATTGCCAAAAAATGCCTACAGCTGAGATCACCTGTTTTTTGGCATGTGCTCATATCTTTTATAATTTCTTTCATTTCTATTACAATTTATTCAAAATACACTAACACACTGAACCAAAAACATCAATACACTAACAAAAGCATACCTACAGCCACCGTTGCCATTTCCAATTTATTTTTCGGACTAAAAAATGGACCAAATGGTAAAAAATGGACCAATTTTTATTACATCGGGAAATTGAGTGGTGTTTATTCCTCTTTATCAAGAAAATATGCCAATTCAGGTTTTATAACGATTTTTTTTTTATTTTGCGTCCAAAGTTCATAACAGTTGTATATTACACAGGTCTGCAAAAAAATGGGTTCGGAATGTTCTATAAAAGTGTAGTGTCATTTCCGAAGTAATTTTTTGCGTAGAATCCGAATCCGGGGTTTAAATTGCTCTATCACGTCAGGACTTTGAGATATCCTAACCTAAAAGTGCAAAAAACGCTGTTTTTGCCCATTTTTGAGGTTATGTAGCTACGAAGATTTTGCTCTTCATAAAAAAGTAGACGTGATATTTTAAAGTATAAGTCTTCCTCTTTTAAATGCCGTTGAGTTTGCTTAAATATCTTAATTTTTCACTGAGATATCGCATTTTGAATTCTCCATGTTTGTGAATGTAATCGACCGTATCACGTCTCATGTTCAGGGTACGAAAATAAACTGTACAAAACAATTCCCATTTGCTCATCGACCATCATATCATTTGTGGTTTTGTACAGTTTTGTAACTAGTCAGAAACAAATTGTAAGATTCACTGTCATTTTCCCCAACGAGAAACGTTTGCTTTTCGTTTGTGACAATTGTACCATAGGGTACGTTTTATATGTATGCAAACGTTTCAATTACGTGAAAAATATTTTTTCTGTAAATTTTCATACCAATTCAATAAAAAAACATTTTTATTTTTTTTATTCATTGCAGCCATTCGTTTTGTATTTGTTTATTGCATATATGTACATACATAAATATATTTTCCCTGCACGATTCATTTCGTTTGTTGTTTCGTCTGTAACTACTAAACTACTGTAGTGTACTATCGCCAAAGTGAACTCAGCCGTTTTGTTTCGTATTGTACCGAACTGTTAAAGTAATAAACGAAACGAAATAGTAACGTACAATATAGTTTATTTTCGTACACTGCTCATGTTATCTCAATGGATTTTCGAATATCGAAAAATTCACAAACATGGAAACTTCAAAATGCGATATCTCAGTGAAAAATAAAGATATTTAAGCAAACTCAACGGCATTTAAAAGAGGAAGACTTATACTTAAAAATACCACGTTTACTTTTTTATGAAGAGCAAAATCTGCGTAGCTACATAACCTCAAAAATGGGCAAAAACAGCGTTTTTGCACTTTTAGGTTAGGATATCTCAAAATCCTGACGTGATAGAGCAATTTAAACCCCGGATTCGGATTCTACGCAAAAAATTACTTCGAAAATGACCCTACACTTTCCTAGAACAAAACGTTGTTGACCTGTGTTATTAACATGCTATTGTTTAAAGTTTTAAATTATAATTTGTTTCATAATTTCGTTTTTAATAATGATAAATCAAGAAATTCGCGCTCAGCTACTTCGGAACTGTGAGGCAGACTAAAAATGAACTAAATCACACCGAGCCCTAACCGCCAAAATAACGTAAGCGACATTTTTTTCAAAATTTTCTTTTTGATGCAGAAATACATCTAGATGCCCTAGGGCTCGACACAATTCTCCAAAGGCTGCTTTACTTAATCCATTTTTAATCAAACTTACTTGATCCCAAAAACGTTCTATATTGGTACAGTTTTTGAAGTTACCTTCACTCAGCCTCAATTTGCGAAATTGAAATTCTATATGTCTGCATCATTTACCAATGCGGAAAATTGGTCGAGTAGCGGCGAAATTGATACATCAGTATCAGAAAGAACTTTATGTAATGTAATAATTTCAAGATGTTTAATATCTTTTCGATTGAAATCGAATATTATTTTCATGTGCTAAATACTATGATTAAAGTTTTGCTACCTTTCCATATTTTTGACAGCCCCTTTAATATTGGTCACCGAGCAATTGAAATTAGCAAGAAACCGTGATTTTTTGAAGCGTGCTTTGACAGATGATTAGCCACGCCATATTTGAAGGCGTGGCAAGGCGAGACCACACTTTTAGCAGGTGTTGCCAATCGGCCCTATGCTGAATATCGTCATCGTTATCGTCGACGATCGTCAGTAACATGGCTGACGATGGCCATATCGTCACTTTTACTGACCATGACGATATTCAACATAGGGATACAAAAAATTGAAAACGCGAAACTATTGCATGAAGTGAAAGGATGACAATAACCTAACCAAAGGCTTGTGAAATGGACCACTTTAAAAAGAATTGAACCAATGGACCAAACGAAAAGAAATGAACCAAATTTGGTCCATTTGGACCAAAACGGAACCGTACCTACAGCCTGCCAGAGAAAACGGCAGCAAGAAGAGTTACATTACTTGATGATGCAATAATACAAGGTGCTATCGGTTGGCAACTTCTCGCTCTAATTCCGCCATATTGACTGCCTTATGTGAAACAGTGTTACTTCTTTAACAATTCTTTGCCTAATAATATAGTTGAATGTTTTTTTTATTTTTTCTCAGTATACACATTTTGTTTTCTTAAAAAGGTATTTTATCTTATTTTATTTCATTTTATTATGAATATTCTATAAAAAAGCAAATTTTGTTTAGGAGAAAATGTGGAACTTTATATTTTCCCCCATATGGGGATTAATTTCAACCAATTTTTCTTCTCATTCTAATGAGCTAAGTCAGTGTCAAATCGAGCTGTCACAACTGATACCACCTTGTATTATTGCATCATGAATTACTTATGGAACTGTACGATGGCTGGTATTGCGAAAATCGCGGCGGACGGCGATTATATTTATGTAAATAAACAGTTTCAGCAAAGTTAAAAAACATGTTTTCCTTTTTAGTGTTGTAGCAATCAGTGTTGCCACAAAAAATTACCAAATCCGAAAAAATTACTCAAAATTTTCTTATTACAGATATGAGTATTGTGTACTACATACTATTTACAGGTCTTAGTATAAAAATTAATTACATTCTCCAATTCATTTGGTACATTTGTTCTTGCTGCTCAAACGAAGTATCACCGTTATATTTTATGCTTTGGGTTGTATATAATATTAGCTCTGATCCAATATTTTTCGTATTATTAAAAATATTAAAAATTCCTTCCGAACCCTGCTTTGGATCACGTTATCCGATTTCTATAATTCTTTTTTTAAAGGAAAGGTGCTACCGCACAGGTGGCCCCGTAATAATTTGGTTTAAATCCGATAATCGGATAATGAAGAAATTAACGATAATCTTAAATTTTTATATGAGAATCGAAGTCGGTTTTGTTTTTTGCTTAAAAATTACTTGTTAGGGCCGTTTTCTCAAGTAACCTGTAATTTTAAAGCTCACTTTATATTTAAAGGTTGCATTAAATTTTATCATTGTGTCTAAAGTAAGGCATTTTACTATCCGTTTTAAATTGGCTTACCACCAAGAAACATACATCTTATGTCATAAACCGATAATAGAAATGCTTAACTTTAGACTTAACTTTTAATCCAACATTTAAATATAAAGTGAGCTTTAAACTTAAAGGTTACTTCAGAAAACGGCCCTAATCTACTTAATATACATTCTACTGAAGCATGAGAAAAGGGCTATATTAGTAATGCAGATATGATTTTTTTTCAATTTGGAAAGTTATTTGAACCCTAAGAATCTTTGATTCAAAAACTTTTTTCCTATAATTTTCTGGATCTAATGAATAATCAATATGAATATCCTTATGATCGAACAATGCGTGTTCTTTCCATTCGTTATCGAGATTTTGCAAGTTCAAAATAAGTTGAAAATATAACGATGGAATAAAAATTATCGAAGGCGAAATATCCCTTTGCCTAAAGCTATTTACATATGTATGTTGTATATGGGGGTGTTTGAAGGTTTGACTAGCCGTTTGAAATGTGAGCAAAAATCAAAACTTTTTGAATTCCTGGCTGCCATGTTGACGTTTGAACAAACCGCTTACGTTGTGTATGGTAAAATCGCCTCATTCGCAACGGGATTTTCCCCGAATGAGAACGCAAGAGAGAAAAATCGAAGAAAAGCAAACTCTTTTACATTGTGAACGGGAATAAAACTAAAACTCTTTGCTTGAACGGGTGCAAGCTAAGAATGCAGAAGGATAAAATGTTGACTCGCATGAAAAAAAATTTAAACTTATTGGAGTCATAAGGACAAACAGGTAATTTTTTAAGCTGATAAAGTTAGAAGGACGAAATTCGAGGTTGTTATCGAATAAAATATTGCGCAATTTTAAGGATAACATTTTAAAAAGACATTTTCAGTACTTACCAGTCCTTATGCACCAATAAATTGAATCTGTTTAAATTCTACAGAATTTCCTCTTTAACTTGATAACTATACTTCTCTAAGCACATTTCACTGAATTTTTTAAATCATTTCAGTGTGAAAACCTAGAAGCGCAATTTTATTATATTTGGCCCATGGTTTTGCGAATATATAGATTTGTGTGTGTCAAATTTACTATCACACGGTGTTTTTTGTATAATGAGCTAAACATTTATAAAAAAATATTAATTATTAAACAAAAAATTAAATATAGCCAATTCAGGCCAAGAAGAGGAATTTCTATAATTGCCATCCGTACAAATTACAAATCCCGCGATTTTCGGGACCCGGGATGCCGGAATTAACACTCCTAGTACTTACCTATACTAAATTTTCGGACTTTCTCGGTTGTAGGTTAACGGCGGCAGCTTGGCAGAGAAGGCTGGTCTCATCCCAGGAGATGCTGTACTTCAAATTAATGATGTTGATGTATTTAATTTGCGCCACAAAGACGCCCAGGATGTCGTTGTACGCTCTGGAAACAACTTCGTTTTGACTGTCCAAAGGTAAGAACATATTGCAATAAGTATGTACTGCGAAATGATATTTACATAGAGAAAATTTCCCATGCAGGGGAGGCTCGACTTGGCGTCCACACGTAACGCCAACTGGCAATCTACCTCAGCCACAGCAGAACTCCCCGTATTTGCAAACAGTGACGAAAACTTCTCTAGCTCATAAACAACAGGAAGGACAACACATTGGCTGTGGATACAATAACGCTGCCCGTCCATTCGTAAGTTCGGAAATGTTGTTTGTGCAAACACAAATATTTCATAATTTACTCATGTCGACACTAATACGGCTACTTTCATTCTGACATTTATGACAAAGGATTATTTTTCATGCATTTGTATGTATGCAAAATTGTATAAATGTGTTCCTTGCAAGTGTTAAAATGTTGATATGTATTACGGCTAGTAATGTGCTGAATCAAAGCTTTTAAGTATTGATCGATATTTGGTACCGATTTAAAAAGTATCGAATACTCTCGATACTCGGTTTCAAATAAAAACGCACATAGGCCAAAACCCGAATGTAGGAGCCAATAGAGCTTTTAATACTGATTCAAATGAAAGGTGTACATATATATATATGTCGGTTCGAGGCCATAATGCAGAGAAACTCTTACTTGTTTGAAGCATTTTTGTCCCAGCTGAATCGGACAATATCATTTTTGTAGGTCTGGGGGCAGATTCTGTAACCAGTTAGCGACAATTTTCGTATCGGTATCGGTTTAGTTGACGTATGATATGAAATATTTTTTCGTCAACAAGTGCGATATCGATCCGAAACTTGTCGCTAACTGGTTACAGAATCTCCCCCCTGAAAGGCTTCTTCATCCGTCAAATTATCTTTCTTTAATCTTGGATCGACTAAAGTTAAAACTAATAAAATAAATTGATAAAATAATATTACTCTGTTGCGATAAGTTCAAGTGTTTTAGCCGATATCTTGTACATTAGTAATGAAAGTTTTTTCTAAACTTGAAATGCATATAATGGCGAAGGTTTAATGTAAAGAATCGGTATCGGGTACCGAAAAGGAAGTATTGGGTACAGAAATCTTTTTTACGTATTGGGTACCGAGTATTGGGTACCGATAATTCAGCACATCACTAATTACGGCATCCCTTGGGGACTTACACTATAAGGGATTTGCGGGATCGTGAAGTATATCCCCACACTGCTAATGCCATATCATAGAAATATAATAGTGCGATTCATAAAACGTCGCAAAGTGGCATTTTCGGCGAAATGGCAACGTTGCAAACAAAGTTGTATGAACGAATCGCAACTCCGGATTACAAATGTAAAATTTATTAAAAAAGAAAAGTTTTTACAATTATATTTCGAAGCAGTCTTAACTAATATAATTTTTCTTCAAGTACCTTGATGGCATTAAAACATCATATGTTTCGCGACTTTGAGTTTGCAATGAGTTTGTCGCAGGAGAGTTTCTATACCAAAGTAATCTGCTGTGTCGCAAGGTGGCAAATTTTGCAACAAATGCGGGGAAATTTCGGTCGAGAAATCCGAGTTTGGTTAAGAATTTCAATTAAACTCTTGGTATTGTGATTCTGCTTCCGGAATAATTTCGTGCAAATTGAAATTTTTTCTAATATGAAGTTGGCTATTTCTAATAGATTTTGTCGCTGAACTCATATCTGATAAATATGTTCAGCATTACAAAATACATCTCTTGTCCTTTCACAAACCGCACAGTGTGCTTTTTGAACACTGCATGCGAATTAATCGTAGCGCTTTCGATAAAAGCAGCATTTTGATACGACACAAAATAGTTTTGAACAAGGAATGAAACCGAAACCCAAACCGAAACCGTAACCGTTTAAAACCGTTTCGTTTTTCAAAACCGAAACCGAAACCGTAACCGTTATCTTGACCTGAAAAGGAACGATACCGAAACCATTTCAATCACAGGTTTCAATCGGTTTCCAGAAATTTACAAAAATAATAAATAAAAATNTTCTGTGAAAAACCGAAACCGGAACGAAACCGAAACCAAAACCGAAATAAATTTTGAAGAACGAAACCAAAACCGAAACCGAAACACTTGGCAAAACCGAAACCCAAACCGGAACGTTATTTTAAATCGGTTTCATTCCTTGGTTTTGAAAGCTAAAGCAAATCCCTTTCAATTGTGGCCATTGAGCCACAAATACCCCTTGACCTTAAAAAAATTGGTTAAAAGTAGTGTTCTTCGAAAATAACATGCAAAATCCACTGGATTCATTCCAAAACAAAAAAATTTATGTATTTTTATTTTATACTAGTATTATAGATTCTGAGACGAGCAACACGATTCCACTGTTCAAAATTCCAAAAAACATTTGAACACCTTAATTTAAAAAATGCATTATTGCATACTTCACTCAATTTTATATCCCTCGAACAATAAATGTAATTCAAGACCTTTAATTTGAGCCAAGGCCCTCTAGGCCTTCTAATAACCAAGTTATAACAATTTTAAACCAAACTTCGAAACTGCTGTACTATTTTCTACTCCGAAATTTGAAAAAAATTGCGTAAAATTTCGAATTAAATTTCGAAGTTTAACTTCAGAATCGTAATAATTTAGCTCTCAAAGGGCTTAGAGACTTCTATCATGGCTTAAATTAAAGGTCTTGAATTGCACTAAAACTGCCTTGTTATTCGAGAGATATAAAATTGTGTGAAGGATGCAAATCATAAAAAGTGCAATATATAATGCATTTTTCACTGAGGGGTTAAATTTTTTTTTTCGTTTTTTAAACAGCGGAATCGTGTTTCTCATCTCAAAATCTATAATATTAGTATAATAAAATATAAAAAACATTTTTTTTTTAATATATCCGTTGGATTTTGCATGTTTTTTTTTACGAAGAACACTATTTTTGACAAATTTTTTTAAAGTCAAGGAGTGACTGTGGCTCAATGGCAATATATTTCCTTGAAAGGCAATTACATTAGCTTTCAAAGCCATTTTGCTGCATATTAAAATATTGCTTTTGTCGAAAGCGCTACGATTAATTGGCATGAAGTGTTAAAAAAGCACACTGTGTGCCGTCGAGTTAGCTTATTATATTCTAACTTACTTTTATACCTTTCATGAGCATGAAATGGTATTATAACTTTGGTCCGGTGTTTGTAAGTACCAGAATAAGAAGAGATAGACCCATTAAAATGTATACTTAAATGATCAGAACGTCGGGCTGAATCGATTTAGCCATATCCGTCTGTCTGTCTGTTTGTATGCAATCTAGTCTCTCAGTTTTCGAGATATCCCGATGAAAATTGGTAGGTAAGTGTATTTTTATAATGTATTAATCATTTGTCGGAACCGGAAGAATCGGACCACTATAACCTATAGCTCCCATACAACTGATTGTTCAGATATGAGATTNCTTACCTGTAGTCCCCATACAACTGATTGCTCAGATATGAGAATTTTCGTTATAACTCCTCCATTTATGCGCTGGGAACATGAAATTTCGCGCTATTTCCACCCATTTTCAAAAGAATACTTACAGTGAAAATGGTGAAGATTTGGTCGCTATAACCTATAGCCTCCATACAACTGATTGTTCAGATATGAGAATTTTCGTTATAACTTCTCCATTTATGCAGCTAGAAACATTAAATTCCGCACTTTTTTCACTCATTATCAACAGAAAGTTTACAGTTAAATTAAAAAAAAATCGGGTCGCTATAAGCTATTTATTACCTCCATACAGCTGATTGTTCAGATATGGGATTTACAGTTAAAACTCCTTAATTTGGGCAGCTAAAATCGATAAATTTCGTAAGCTATTTTATAAATAATAATACAAAGGCTACTGAGAAAATCGTCAAAATCTATGCTGTATATGCTTTATCTCTTATACCACTGATTGTTCAGATACCAGTTTTTGAGATATATGTATCTCCTTTATGTAGGAAGCTAAACCGATTAAATTGCGATTTGCGATTGATATGATTGACAGTCAACGATACGTGTAATTGGTTCATTTCAATGCATTTTATTTAAATTTTATTCAATAAGAAATAGCCTATACATTATTTTGGTAACAGGTCAACATAACATTCACGCATGCCGGCAATTTACTGTCGAAAATTTCTCATGCACATACATAGAACTTGTATGGGACTAACCGAAATTGAACGGCGTGCATAAAAGGCTAACTCAAATTCCAAGATTTGTCTTGCGTTACATTTCCACTTGACGTTTATGATCAATTGACATTTTGGCACGACTATGGATTCAAATTTTGCTCAACAAACTTCAGTAAATTTGATAGAAATGATTTTGGTTTATCAAAGTGAAAAACTTGCGTGCGCAATTATATATTTAAATAGGTTTATTTTTTCAATTGCAACTCTAAAAGCACCACAAACAATTATTTTCTTAATGTGATTTACAATAAGCATCATGCCATCAGCTGTTTTTCTTAGCAAATAGCAAATAGTTGCTAGTAAAAATTTATCCAGTAAAAATCCAGTAAAACTTGCAAGTTCAGCTGTCATTTCTGCTCTCTCAATTTCCCCTCGTTTGCTAGTTTCTTGCAAGTTTTTGCGTACGAAAACGACATCCAGTAAAAAACCAGTCAAATTAGTACTGGATTTACTGGATAGTGCGTACGCGAACAGGGCTATAGTTAGATAAGAATAATTCAAGAGTGAAGCATGGTAGGACAGTTGTCAGAGGTGAGTTTACAGAGCTGATAAGCTTTATTTGCTTGTTGAGGTGGTCGCAGGGGAGGAGGGGAAGAGCGGACTTGCCCATTACCTATATACCCTTGTGGTCAGCTGATTAAATTTAGTGACATTTTGAGCAGTTTTGGTTGTTTCTTTTGTTAATTTAATGCTTATAGTTTTTTTGTTTATAAAAGTGTAGCACATTACAGAATCAGAACCACATAAATCCATATTTCTAACTTCGTACAAAAATGTTAAAAATTCAACAAACACACACCCAAAAGCCAACAACCAACAATCAACAAACCACCAAAAATGTTAAACTTTTTGTTCAGGATTTTTAGAAAAATTCTAGGTACGCAGTTTTATAGCTCATTAAATTTAAGTAGGTAAAAGTAAAAATTTCAAGCGCCCTCTACTCTTTTGGGCGAAAACATTAAATCTCATCCGATTTCGATGAAATTTAGTTTGTAGTCTTTATTTTATTAGAAAAACCTAAATATAAAATATGGGGAAGATTGGATCACTATAACGTCCAAAACACACAAAAAATATGTGATGGAATTTTGGGTAATTTTTGTTTCCTGCTTTCCACTCTCAGAAAACAAAAGTTATACTATAAAATGACTTAGGTGTAAATACTCGCTTTTTCCCAATATCTGGTGAGATTTTTTCATTGTTCAAAAATTCTTTTCGCGAAATTATGCAAAAAGAAGCTGAAAATCAAAAATTAAGAAAACTAAAAATTACATATACTTGCAAAGTCGCGCGTAAAGATCAAATTATATATTCGAAAACTTCATAAAATTCTCTAAAATATTCGTCTAATCTCAAGACCTGGCGGACCGGTACTCACACTTTCTTTACTAATAATCTTTAGCATCTACATTTCAAAGTAAACTGTTTGGTAAGAAAATAGCAAAGTACCACATAAATTATAAATATATTCACCTGAATATTCCACGACATTTAAACAATTGATTACAGTTGAAAAAGAAACACTTTCTTTAATGGGTTAATCGCCAAAGGCAACTAAACTGATTAGTCGGTATCGCGCCCATTACCGCATTTTTTTGGAAATGTATCGTTCGTGAAGAAGGGGGGGTTAATCATGCAAAGTTTGGTATTTATGACTTTTACTTTTCCCTCTCTAAGTCCAACCGGTTTTTTTTTTTATCAACTGTCACCATGACTTTTTTCTACCTGCCTCCATATAGTCGAAACACTGTGCGGCGCTAGGTATTTTCTTTTATATAAAAGGCACTTATCCTAAGATAAAACGTGAGCGACTTGAACCTCTACCGGGCTTCGTATATTTTTTAATAACTAATCTTTAATATACCCTACACTAAAAGCTCCTTTTCACATAAAAATTCGTACGTGTACCACCTGTGACAAATGTTGTCCTACCCGTGATAGAGGAATTTCGTATTTTTTTTTTATAATAAAGCAATCATTTGTTTGTAGTTTTTGCTTTGTTTGGATTGGTGGTTCTTTGTTTTATTATAGGACATCAAGTTCACACAGAAAAGTGAAATAAATTCGCAGACTTTCCGTAAAATATATCTGCGCCCAAAAGTAGGTTCTTTTTTTTTTGTCCCACCCGTAACAGAAGAAATAACTCAGATTTTTTCCATATAAAAGTAAGCTGGAATTTTTTTCGTATTTAGTAATAACTCATATAATAGGGAATTAGGTGTAGCTTTATCAAAATGTAGAATTGTTGAGTATTTTATACTTAAATTTAAACAAGAAAAAACATTTTTTCACCTTTGACGGTGGAAAAAAGTGCGGTATTAAAGTAAAAAAAATGCGAAAAACTGTATTTCTTCTAATGGTTCGTACACTAAACGCCTGACTTTCACTTATGTTTACATGTGGTATTAGTGACAGCAGCAAAAAGAGCTTCCCATAGTCATAGTCGTTAGCTCCTTCTGGTTCAAACACAGTTTTAAGTTATGTAAAATAACAAAAACAAAAATATTGCTACGTTTGAGACGCGCAAAGTTTTGATAATATTCTACTGTTGCTTTGTCGAAGCGATAACGGGAATAAAACTCCTTGCCCTCCATTTCAAAAGATTGCAGCGTTTCCTATTTGTTTTCGTTTTTCTTGTCGTATTATATCATCCAAAATCGCAAAATCTCGTAATATGCTCTTCCTATGAATCATAGTTTTTCACTTGCATTAATTTTTGTCAATTCTAGTGTCAAATATTTTGAATTCCCTATAACGTAAGAAGCAAAACATCAACTTAGAAACTTATTAAAACATTTTAAAATCACGTTCACCTAATTTTTAAATTAAAACTAGGTTTTTATGTTAAAATGGATTTTAAGCTGCCTATGACTGAGGTAAATTTGGGTTTATTACACAGTACTACAGCCGACACCAGTCCATACTTTGTTAACATTATCTGAGAGTATACCTAGTCAGTAATAAAACGCTCGATGGATTTGCAAAAGTTATCTCGTATCTTAATTTTAAGGCGTGCTAAAGTTTTCATATCCCGGCCTAAGTAATTTTCATAAAGGCGGAAAAAATGGTTAAAATAAATATCTGAGCGAAATTAAAGGTTAACACGTATATACGTATGTAGTAAAATTGCGTGGGAAATATTTTCGTAGAGCATTCTAACCCATTAGTTCCCGCCCGAAAGAGTTGTTGTGACCAGTGTTGCCACATCTTCGGCATGAGAAAACGTCCCTCTTTATCTGAAAAGATCATTTCCTACCCAAAAACGTCTTTTTCAAATGTATGCACAAAGAATTGTTCTTATTAAACTTTTATTGTATGCAAAGGTACATATGTACGTAAGGTATAGATATTAAAACGTCATTTGCTCTGTCACATTTAAAATTCATTCTAAACTGGTTTGAGATCGTTAATATAAAAATCATTTTATTCATGCACTTGTGATCAGCTGATTAAGTCATCGATTTTGGCTATTTCTTTTTTGTTTATTTAATGTTTATTATTTTTCCATAAAAGCCTAGCTCATTATATAACAAACAAAATATAAATCCACATTTCAAACTATGTGCAAAAATTATAAGAAATCTGATTCAACTTTTTATTCAGATTCAATAATGTGGAAGTTTTAAGATGCCAAAGAATCGCGTTGATTTTTAATGTTTTTTTTTCTTGTAAACATTTGGTTAAGTGGTATGTTGTCGAAAATGCTAAATTACGTTCTGTTAAGAAGGAACTTAGCAATATTTCAGCCTTTTTACGTTCATTAAATTTTCAATAAGGGGCCCCATGCGACTAATTGTGTCATTTTCTTTATGCGCTGAAATAAGAGTTAAGTCACCTGTGTCCAAAGAAGCAGCTGCTACAAAAAACAAAGCTTGTAAAGATTTATTAAGAAAATAATTCAAAATCAGTTCTACTTACAAGATTTAGTAACAGAGAAATATTACTGGGAAGTTAAAAAACGTAATTTTTTACACAAAAAACGTCCAAACGTCAACAGGATACAAATAACGTCCAAATCACGTTAAAAACGTCAACCTGGCAACGCTGGTTGTGACCCCTACCTAAGAAACCCCTCAAAACCTAAATTTGGAATTTAGTTTGAGGAGTGATGTGTTTTAAAAAATTATTCTTCGGCAAATTTTACTAAGGCGTTTTGAGGCAAAAACTTCATATGACCAACGTAATATTCAGTAAAAAATTATATACAAAAGGATATGCCAGGAAGGAATAACAGCCAAACTTTAAATGAACCTGGGCTTTTTTCTACAAACAATTCTTAATTGAGTTTGGCTGCTATTCCTTCTTCGCTTCTTCCATTTCCAATTAACCTTGTTAGTTTTTAGATATGTTCAATTTTAGTTTATTTGTGCACAACCACTTTGCCACTTTTCCAGATTTTGCTAGCAAAAATTCTTCTGACTAAATCGTGTAACTTCTGACAGAAGAGAGTCACAGTTGCTCTCCCATTTCTGCTTTCATTTTCAAGTTAAGGAACGCTTTTCGGACTAAATCTGACTACTTATGTCTATATCTGACTATTTCTGGCAGATAACGAACACAATTAATGTTACTCCCACGCTATGTATACACGCGTTTGATCAAACTAAATAGCAAAACAATAACAATTGTCTACGTGAATGTGATTAGCGTAGTACTTTTCATTCCAATAATATATTTGTTTCTACAATTTCTTTCATCTTAATACGATGAATGAGAAAGAAACCATAAGTGATATTACCAGGGATGCGGCAATTGCCGACAGCTTTTTCACATTTCTTAATTTTGAGCAATAAAAAAGATAATGAAAGGTCGTTTTTTTTGCTTTGCCGCTCGTTTTTGTCTCAATAAAACATAAAAAGTGCTTATTTCGTACAACGTTTTAAAAAAGATTTTCTGAAGTTGCGGCGGTTGTGGGTTTTAGCGGGAGTGTCCCGTCCCGCCCGTAAAATTTTTAAAGACCTTCTCGATACCGCCCATCCCATATGTATGTGCATATGTATATACATATGTATGTATATGCATACAAAATATTCACTCTCCCATTCCTAAATCATAAAAGATCCTGCGACTGGGAATATATTCCCTTGCGCACAAGTTGCCCAATTGATTTAAAACTCAATGTGTTCTCGTCTTCTTAAGCGGTCTCGTCTTCTAAGTGCTCCAGTATTCATGTCATGCATACAAAACCTAAAATATCACCCACATACTTTATACTCTTATTGATTCGCTTTTTCTTTTCACTCATATTTTGAAATGCTCCATTAAATTCTCAACCACGTTTCCCTATTTCTATTTACATTCAGGTTAACGGCGGCGATGGCAGCGTCAAGAGTATCGTAAATAAACAATATAACACGCCGGTCGGCATTTACAGCGATGAATCTATTGCAGAAACCCTTTCAGCTCAGGCTGAAGTCCTGGCCGGCGGCGTTCTTGGGTGAGTACAAACAGTCCTTACAGCTGAAATACACACATGCGTACGCAAATCTGTTAGATCCGAAAATAGCGCGAAGGTACTATTGTTAAAGTAATTTTAAAATCAATAACCCTACTGTATAGCAAAGCAAGCAGTGAAACGAATGAAAAATTTCGAGTCAGTAGAAGGGAAATAAAATTAAAGTTGAGGGAAAGTATGAGGAATGATGTTGAAGTCATTTTTGGATTCTTCAAATTGTTTTAGCGGATTCCTGCGGTGATTTATTATTATTACTTCAACAATATTTTTAGAAAACGGTGGTAGCAACTAAAAGTCACTCAAGCTTGTTTACAACAACAAGGACAGTAAATTTTAAATGGAAAGCGCGTAAACTTCTGCTTTTACCTTTAAAGTATACATACCTTAGTAAACGAATTATATATGCATCACGCTTTTCCTCAATTTCTGTCTATTAAATAAGTGTAAAGTTTTTTGTGGTGTGCAATTATAATAGCACATGGTTTATAGGTATTTTCCATATATGTATGTATGTATTTCGTCGTTATTCTTGTATAATTTTAGCTACCGTTACAACAATCTGTGTTAGGTGAGGGAAAGCGGGAGACCAGGTTTAGAGTTGTGATCAAGTTAGAAGAGTAGAGGAGATTGGGATAACCTTTGCTGCGAGTGTTTATATATCGAGCTCAATTAGCCCATATGGTTTATAGATGCACATGAAGTCAACCACTCATATCACAGTATATAGTAGGAGTACTTTTGGGCAACACTTACTGTGGGGAATTTCGCCACATGATTAGAAAAAGTTCTGTTCAAAATGTAGGTTAAGTATAATATTTATGCTTAATTAAGAATAATATCAATAGTTAAGTACATAATTAACGCTTGTGTTTCTATAAACTGGCAAACTCAAATCGTAATTATAGCACTGAATGGAGTTTTCTTAAATGTAAGTTTAAAATTGAAAAAATATCCATTGTAAGATTATAGTTTTTTTGAAAAACGTAGAGTTTCTGCTCTGTTCGGTCACTATTACACAGTCATGACTTGTTCTACTCTGCCATAGTACGGTTGTTTCTCATTTTCATACCACAGAAATTTTGTATACAACTCTGAATCAACAAAATTCATGCTCCTTCTCGTTATCAACCCTGATCAGATTTTACCCCCGAGGAGTAGGGTAAAGGGTGAGCATGCGTCAATGGGGCACATTCGCCACCCATCGTTTTCTTCAAAGTTACTATTGCTATCGATCTTTGAAAATCGATAACTCGTGCTTCAGTCGGCCACATCTCTTCTTATTTACTCTGACAGTTCATCTTTGCAAGTGGTTGTAGATAGTCGCTTTTATCCACTTTTTTGCGTTGCTGGGAAAAGTTTTGTGGCTAAATATATTTCGTAATAATTTTGTGATTTGTCGTGTTATGAAATAGTTTTTTATTTGTGGAATACCGCTGATGTTGCTTTAAATGAAATCGATAGCTTGTTGCATTGTTTACGGCTCTTAAAAAAAAAGCGAGTTTCATAAAAGAGGTTAGACGTGGGACAGATCCACCAGACTCCAAGTGGGGTTGTTTCGCCGGCAAATGTGCCCCATGGGGTAGATGCGCCGCTGATGTATGTGCCCTATGATGATGATGTCCCCCTGGTGTTGCTGATGTTCTAGTAAAAGCTGCAGAAAACTTAACCCAGGATGCTTCTTTCAAACATCGTGTTTCAACCCGCCCTTACGAACACACTCCAAGCATTCTTACCCTAATATTTAAAAACCGCAAATTGCGAAGAGAGTGGCAGAGACTTCGTTATCCTCGTGTTATACAGGAACTAAATCCATGTAAGAAAGAATTAAGTTGCTTGTTTCAAGCAGAAAAAAGACACACGCCCTCGGTTCTTCAAAACTTGTCTGCTTCATGCCAGACAAATTTTTCTCTCTGGCGTACCATGAAGTATGAAAAGAAACCGGTGCTTCGAGAATCGCCTATCCGAACTCCTAATGGAAACTGGGCAAAGAGCGATGAAGATAAAGTAACAGATTTTGCTCAACATCTTTCAGACGTTTATAAACCCAATGAAAGCCCCACTCCTTCAAACATCTTAATTACTAATAGTAACTCAACCACTATTTCCCGTCGATTCAAGCTCAACGATTTAAGAAATACCAAAGCCAATGATATTCATACTAATAAAGCTCCTGGTTATGATAAGATCACAGGTGAAATGGTAAAAGAACTGCCTAAAATTTATATACGATACAGGCTAAAGATATACTACCCTATCCACCTTTAGTTCATACAAACGGGAAATATTTCCCGAACAACTGGAAACTATCTGAAATAATTATGTACATAAGCCAGGTAAAGATCGGACCATAGTAGGTTCATACAGGTCAACCAGTTTACTCTCTGTATTATCAAAAAATTTTGGAAAAACTACTCGCGAAAAAATTGAAACCCATGATAGTGCAAAACAATACCATACCTAAGCATTAGTTTGGGGTTCGGGAAAAGCCATAGGTACCATAGAGGAAGTACACCGAATAGTCTTATAAACTAGGGAATCCTTTTGCAGAAAAACATTACTTTATTATTATTATTATGCTCCTTATAAGAGAAAGTGTTGACTTAAGAAATTTGAATTCAATACAATATTAAAGTTTCTTATGTTCCGTTTTTTTGTCTTGACGTTTCCATCCCATCTCGATGGCGCAACTACCCCATGGGTGGGGCAGTTACACCATTTTGGGTCGTTTCAAAAATCATTAAACAACTTATAGACATTCCAAAAAGTACATATCTATTTTGTCTCATAGCCAATATACATATATACATATGAGTAGTCCACTTGCAAACAGCGTTATGTGATTTTATAATAGAAAGCCATAAATTTGAAAAAACGACTACGACAACAAGTAACATTTAAATAGAATCTTTTTTTTTTATTACCTGAAAATTTGGATAAAAAGCCTTATAAAATTGTAACATAACATAACATGACATAAGATAACATTAACAGTCTATACGACCTAAAGCAGTTGTCTACGATCATCAGAAGATGTATAGTTTTGAAAGTTTATAAATAAGTGTGATAGCGACTTTTGGAAGAAGAGGCAACATTTGATGCTATTTTTTATCAGAATATAAAAAGATTTTGCACTGTGTTGTTAATGGACATGAAACTACTATAAATACTGGTACGTAATCCTGCAAAAACTAAAAATCTAAAAAATTTACATAGCGCACTTTGCAAGTGGACTACTCATATGTATGTACATTAGACTGCATCACCAATAAAAGTTGCGTTTTCTCCGCCGGGATTACAAAAGTTATTATATTTTAAGACGTTCACCACAATATTTGGGAAAAATATTAAGATTTAAGTGAGCTGGACCGATTTGAAAACACCTCCAAAAATGGAGTTTTTTATGAATAAAAATAGTTTCGTAAAGAACTTTTTGAAAACACTCCCCTTAGATGACAAAACAGATTAAGCTTAAAAAATCTACATACAAATATTTAAAAATATTTTCAACGGAATCGTAAGAATGAGATTTTTGATGCTGTTTTTTTTTCCTTTTTTCAAAGATTGATTTACGAAAAACTTGAATAACTGGGCAAAACTATTCTGATTTAGACATATGGGATCTCAGTAGATAGGTATTTTAACACTGTTTCTATTTCTGTAAAAAAAAAAATCATTCGTGACCCAATTTTCTTTTTTTCAAATACCAACACATCTTAATTCAACTTTGAATGACGTTCATTCATCCTACCTTTCTCTTTCGTCCTTTGAATGAGTTTATTAGCAAAGAAATAAAAACGGGTGAGAATATACCTTTCCACCGACACCTCTTAAGTCTAAATCAGAATAATTTAGGCTCAGTTATTCAAGTTTTTCTTATACCAATCTTTGAAAAAAGTTAAAAAACAGCATCAAAAATCTCATTACGATTCCGTTCAATTTTTTTTTTAATTTTTAAAAAATATTTTTATGCAAATTTTTTAAGCTTAAATCGTTTTATCATTTGAGGGGATTTAAAAAAAAAAAGATTTTAAGAAACTATTTTTATTCATAAAAACCTCTATTTTGAAATTGGTCCAGATTTAAGTGATCTTAATATTTTTTCGAAATATTTTGGTAGACGTCTTAAAGTATAATAGATTTTATAATACCAATGGAAAAATAGTACCGTTTTTTTTTTGTATGGGGAGTGATGCAGTCTAATGTACATGCATCTGCTTTTGCTTAAGGTTATATTTTTGGTCTTTTTTCTATTTAGATCCCTACCACTACCGATAACAAAATCTATAAATATCGGTAACACAATCGATAAATATCGATAATAAAATCGATAAATATCGATAACAAAATCGATAAATATCGATGACACAGTCGATAAAAATATCGATAAGAAATCGATAACAAAATCGATAAGTATCTATAGCAAAATCGATAAATACCGACAACTAAATCGATAACAAAATCGATAAATATCGAAAACAAAATCAATAACAAAATTGATAAATATCGATAACAAAATCGATAAAAAATAGCTAAAAATATCGATTAAAAAATCGATAACAAATTGATAAAAATATCGATAAAAAGATCGATAAAAATATCAATTATTATATCGATAGGTTCCGAAAATCATCAAATAGCAAATTGTTAAGAATATCGATACAAATTTTGATAGAAAAATCGATAACAAAACCTATAAAAATATCGATTATTATATCGATAAGTCTCGAGAATCCCGAAAATCTCTAAATAAATAGTTCCTATATTGAGTCTCTGTGTCTCTCTCTATATCCTTTCCTCTTTAATTACCTTTATTTTATTCTTTCTTCCCCTATCTTCATCTTTACTTTTATCGGTATTCTCATCCTCCTCTTTGTTTTTACTTTTATGTTTATCATTTTCTTCATCTACATATTCCCCTTCACATTTGCTCTTATATATATAAGTAAGGTCTTTAATTTTACCTTGGTCTTCATTTTTGCCTT